AGGTCACAACCTCATGGAGAGCAGGACTCAGAGGAGCCCGGCTAAAGTCTGGGCAAGGAGGGTGCCAACCTCACTTTCCATGTCTGATGAATGGGGACAATAATGCCAGGGTAACTGCCCACGGGGCCGGTGTGAAATAGTCATCCAGAAGGCGCCGCGTAGACCCTGCGAGGCTGAGCAGACGTGAGGGAGGGTGTCCTTAGAAAGCTGTGCCTTGGTGTGAAGTAGCGCCTTCGACTCGGAGAGACCCCCTCAGCCTCCTGCTCCCGGTGCCCTGGTTTATTCTAGCTACATTTTTGACGCTGAATCAGTTGGCAGCGGTCAGCTGATGTGAGGAGGAAGAGGAAGTAGCTGATGGTGAGGGGAGCTCAGATTTAGGGATCTGTTCTGGAAGGAATCTGCAGACAGGGCCGTAGGGAAGGGGGGCAGCCAGCATTGCTCGGGCCATTAAAGCTGGTCCTTGTGCCGAACGGTTTGTCTCGTGACTGTGACATTATTAGAAAGAAGACACTGTCTCCATAAGAGCTCATTTTGAAGCTAGTTTAGTGGGGAAAAGAAGATCTGTTGAAACGACAGCCTAATCTTTCTGGGGAAATCAAATTCTGTTCCCATTTTACATCCTACGTCAAAATAAACACGAGACAAACAGAAATATTCAAAGTAAGAACAAAACCAAAGGAAAAGGTAGGTGACTATTTCTATACTCTTGAAGGTAGGGTTGGTAACTGTGACATCAGAGGGACAAAAGTTTAATACATTTGATTAGCGACAAAACTCATCAGTTACAAAAGAGAGATGCCAAAGCCAACGAGTAAAATGTTTGTGGCATTTAGTCCGGAGAATGTATGTTTTTTTTTAAATCCTCACTTGAGGATGTTTTTTTCTATTTATCTTCAGATAAAGTGGGAGGGAGAGAGAAAATAAGGGAGGAAGAGAGAGAAACATCGACGTGAGAGGGACACATTGACTGTTGCCTCCCGCAGGACCCCGACCCAGGCCGGGGATGAACAGCAACCTAGGTACATGTCCTTGATCAAATTCGAACCCGTGACTCATTGGTCCTCAGGCCGACGCTCTAACCACTGAGCAAAACCGGCCAGGGCTAGAGAATGTATTTTTAAGGTTATAAAAAACATCTATGAAACTATACAAAAGGTGAATACCACAAGAGAAAAATGGTTACAAAGGAAGACATTCCTGATGGCCAATAGACAAAACAACTCACCACTACTAACCAAAGAAATGTAAATAAAACCAAAGATTGAAAATACTTACTCGAAAATTTTGTGTTGTTGTGGTTAATCCTCAGCCAAGAATCTTTTCTCATTAATTTGTAGAGAATGGGAGGGAATGAAAGAGGGCGAGGGAGAGAGAGAGAGAGAGAAACATCGATGTGAGAGAGACACATTGGTTGCCTCCTGCATGCACCCCAGCTGGGCTGGGAATCAAACCTGCAACCTAGGTATATATTCTTGACTGGAAATTGAATCTGCGACCCTTTAGTGTGTGGGCCGATGCTCTAACCACGCAGCCACACGAGCCAGGCCCTTAGTCAAAGGTTTTTATTAAGCCTTTGGGATATTTCATACAGGGACAATAATAGCGTGATTTCACACTGCACTTAAATGCTGAGATATTTTTAAAAACACGCCATCCCATACATATATGTGAACTAGAATAATTTCTTTAGAGGTATTAGGCTTTAATGCCAAGATTAAAATGATTCACAATTAGCACTTTCATACCAAGAAGCAACTCTTTAGTTCTTATTTGTTCTCAAACTTAAGAACCTTAAGGTAAAGTTGATGTACCCACACCATCTTCTCATGGGTAGTATACACTTTGGCCTAGCTTTTTAAAGAACAACGCACAGCCCGGCCAGTGTGGCTCAGTGGTTGAGCGTAGACCCCTGCACCAAGAGGTCACTGGTTTGATTCCCCATCAGGGCATATGCCCAGGTTGTGGGCCCGATCCCCAATGAGGGGCATGCAGGAGGCGGCCAATTGATGTTCTCGCTCATCGATGTGTTTCTCTCCCTCTCCCTTCCTCTCTAAAATAAAGAAAAACAATTTTTTTAAAAGAAGAACACCACACACACACACACACACACACACAAATATTCCAAAGTAAATGGATGGGTTGCTGCACCGTATTGGTAAACTTCCACTGGTTTTGAGTCACAGCTGGGTGAGGCTGGGTGTGACAGGAAAAGTCGTTCCCGTGAGCGAGAGAGGGGACAGGGCTCCAGACCGACACTGTTATCACAGATCCATCACTGCCCTTACATAAACAGTTGTGTGCTGCCCGTGAACACACGTGTCTCAGGAAGACAAAAGGATCGGAGAGCCAAGGCGTCAATACATGGTTTGAAGTTCACGTCCAAGGGCAAAGGATGGCAGATGCTGGCTGGAAACACGGCAGCTGGGCCGGAGGAACCCTTCACCCAGGAAAGCCTGGAGGCAGAATAAGCAGAGAGACCACTGAGATCTCTTGTTCAAGATCAACTTTCCCATGGAGCCAAGAGAAAGCCGGGGCGACGAGACAAAGGACATGCATGTTAATCATGAGTGTCATTCATAAAACGCCCTTTGTGTATTCAGAGTGGGTTTAGCGCTCGGCTCTGTGGGCCAAGAGGAGAAAACCAACCAGAAGGAATTTTTATCGGACGCTTTCAATGAACCGAACTTTCTGTGGAAGAATTCAGACCAACTTCACTCAGTACATGATTTCTTTTCTTTCTTTTTTAAAGCAAGGGTAGTTTGTTTTTTAAAGTTAGAGGAAGCCCGTGGTAAGTGGTTATGCACCAGAACACATTTTTAATACTTTTTAATTATTATAAGTAATAACCAAAAGTAAATCAGATGTATTACGTGCAGAGTGACACACAAATGTTATAATTACATTTTATTTTTATTTATTTATTTTTGTTACAGATGTTTCTACTTTTCCCCCCATTAACACCCTCCTCCCGATCCCCCCAAGCATTGTCTATGTCCTTGGTTACGCACACGTGCATATAAGTTCTGTGGTTTATCTCTTCCCTCCCCCACGTCCACCTCTTCTGACATTTGTCAGTCTGCACCCCACTTCCATGTCTCTGGGTTGTTTTGTTCCTCAGTTTGTTTTGTTCAGAACACGTTTTTTATTTTTTATTTATTTTTATCCTCACCCGAGGATATTTTTCCATTTTTTGTAGATATAGAATGGGAGGGAGAAAGAGGAAGGGAGAGAGAGTGAGAAACATCGACGTGAAGGGACACATCGAGTGGCTGCCACCCGCACGACCAACCAGGGCCGGGGACAAACTGCAACCGAAGTACGTGCCCTTAGCGGGAACCGAACCCGGGTCTCTCCGGACCGCAGGCCGACGCTCTAACCGCTGAGCCAAACCGGCCAGGGCCAGAACACGTTTTTTAAATGGATGATTTTCACTGAATTCATAGCAGGAGAGGAAGGAAAGAAAATGGCATGCTTGATTGTCTGTTTTATTGATTTATTTTCTAAAGAAGGACTAGTTGCCAGGCAAAGGGATATTTCCCCTTGAGCTCCATAAATATAGTCAACATGTGTCTACGCCGCAGGCCTAAATCCTTGTGGGAGCCGACCACTGCCCCGCCCCGCCCCCACCCCAGCCAATGGCTCGGACAGGGGACCCACCATTCGCGAGCACGGAGGCATTCGGTTCCTGCTAACCGGTGAAAGCCTTTTGCCACCCGGATGAAAAACAAGTGCATGTGCTTAGGGGGTTCATCCCAAGAGACTGATCGGTTCTGTCTGCGCATCAGCAAAGCAGTTGTGATCAAATATTTATCAGCAGCATCTTTGGCTGGGCCGGCAAAAAGCATCGGGAGGAACACTGGACCTTAAAGCAAGGGCAGGCCGCTTGCGGACGCTGCCTGGATGCGAACGTCGCTGTCACACACTCAGAGCAGTCCCCAAGCTCCCCTCCCTCCTGCTGCTGGCGTGGCCGAGATCCCTTATTTTGCAGTTGGACTTAGTCATGGAATTTCCGGAGCCCCTCTGAGTCTGGGGACAGAGCCTGTGGCCAATGAGTCAGATTTTTAACTAGCTAAAGGGTTATTTGGTGGGTTGAGATGCTGCTCCGGTGTGGTCATGGTTCCTTCGGATCACTGCGACAGAGGTTGGAGAAGACCTGGCTGTTACCTGTTCTCTGCCCGGTTGTGGAATTCCACGTGTTATCCCCCTGCCCCACCTGTCTCCTCCTCCGGAAACCCTCTTCCTTGGCACAACGGGGTCATTTATCCATTGTCAATGCCAAAGAGCCAGGGCCAGGGGCAATAAGGTCTCTTATTAGTAGAGCTCTTGGTGCACGAAGAGTTCTCTTAGTTGCCTCTGGCATCCGTAATCATATTACTGCCCTTCCCCTGCAGATGTCAGCCCGACTGTAAAGTACGGTGTTGGCCTCTACATAATCTCTGAGGTCAGTGGTCAAAGCCAGTGCTTCTAATCAGTCAGGTAGGCAGCAGTCTCAAAATTAGATGGAGAGCAAGCCTGACTTTGGAAAGATGGAGACCCTGCGTTTGGACACCCCGATCCAGTAGGTTGGAGATAGAGCCTGCGTCGTGGGTCTAGAACTCTTTCGAGGTGACTCTAATTTAGAATTTTCCCAGGTCTGAAGGACATTCTCGTAACCTGAATATATTCATTCATCACATGAAACAGCACCAGAAAAATCGGATTCATTAATAACCAAAAAGGAAAGGTGTACACCCCCCCCAATTCAGTCAGCCAGTGGGATACGGGGGAGGGGCTGGCTTCTTCACCTTTTTCTATTTCTACCTTCCTTTCTTTGGCCATGGAGACAACCAGGCATCGTATATGCCAGAGGTGCAGCAAGGAGAATGGTTTGTGGTAAGCAGGAAAGGTAACAAAACAACAACAAAAGATCTCCCAAAGAAACAGGAAAGAAATAATCGGACTGCAGCCAGCCCGTTAGGTCTGCTCCCATGTTAAGCCCTGACTCAGTCTTTCTTTTTCAGCCGTCACAGTCCCGCCAGAAGATGGCATTACGACCCCAAGTGTAGAATATGGCAGAGTTACCCCAGGTGAGGAGGATGGCACAGTGACCCAAGGTGCCAGCAAAGAGCCCTTCGAGGTAAGTGGCTCAGGAAAAGAGGGACTGGTTTGCTGGCATGCAATCACATGCAAAGATAGAAATGTATGAACACATAAATATAAGTACGCATATGTGTATACGTATCTATTTATAGTGACATATGTATATATCTAATCAGCGGGAGGCACCAGGCAAAGGAATTGTCGCGTGGCTGGCAACAAAAGCAGCTTCCCAGTGTCATCCAGCTCGCAGGGAGCTGGTGTGCTGATCACAGGTGATTTGAGCGTACACACCAGGGCTCCTCACACTGGTAAGGACGTGGGTTTGTAGGTGTCCCATGTGTGACAGCCCACTTGTCAGTACAACAAGAGTCTTGGAACTTGTAGCACTCACATTACTAAAAGTTTCCAGGTATGGCGTCACAATTTCTTGTCACATTGTGACTGGTAGTAAACACAGACTAGCAGCCATGCACAGACCGCGCTGGTGTAGACTCCATGGAGTCCCCACTGACACGTTCCCGACCTGATGAACTTGAGTCAGTTCACACATGTCTTGAGCACCTGCCATGAACGAGACCAGATGCCAGGCTCTGGGAGGCATTGAGGAGGCAAAGGGTCATACTCTTTGACCCTTGAGAAGCTTATTTATAATGTAGTGACATGGAACAGAGTCTCCTGCCCATCTCTGTAACGTCCTTATACCACTGTCCCCCTCGCCTTCTCTATTTCAGCCACGTTGGTCCTTCTGACCTTTGACCTTATTCCAACTTAGGGTTTTGTTTTCTCTGTTTAGACCACTCCCCAGATCTTTCCATGGCTACCCTTGTCTCAAGTTCATATGTTATCTTAAAGAGGCCTAAAGGAACCCTGTTCCCACTCTCCCCATCCTCAGGAGTTACTCTCTAGCCCCGAGGACAGCAAACTACTCACCAGATGTGGCCCACCCACCGTTTTTGTAAATAAAGTTTTAGTGGAACACAACAATGCCTGTTCACTTGAGAATGATCCCAGGTTGCTTTCATGCGGTAAGAGCAGGGTTGAGTAGTTGGCTGTAAGAGAGACTGAATGGCCTGCAAAGATGAACATATTTACCATTTGGCCATTGTATCCCCAGGGTTGAGAACCACGCCAAGCACATAGTAGATGCTCATTAGCATGTTTTTTATTGTGTTAAAAAGCACATACCATAAAGTTTACCATATGAACCACTTCTTTTTCAATCCTCACCCAAGGATATGTTTATTGATTTTAGAGATGGAGGAAGGATGACAGAGAGAGAGAGAAAGAGAGAGAGAGAATCATCAATGTGAGAGAGAAATAGCAATCAGTTGCCTCCCATAGGCACCCTAACCAGGGAATCAAACCCACAACCTTTTTGGTGTCCAGGATGACGCTCCAAACAACTGAGCACCTGGCCAGGGCCATCTGAGCCATTTTTAATTGTACCTACAATTCAGTAGTATTAACTATATTCACTTGTGAAAAAGATCTCTAGAAAGTGTTCATCTTGCAAACTGAAACTCTGCACCTATTAAACAACAAATTGCCTCTTCCTCCTCCTCCCATTCCTGGTAACCTCCATTCTACTTTTTATCTCTATGACTTTGACCATTCTAAGTACCTCATATCAGGGGAATCACACAGTGGTTGTCTTTTGGTGACTGGCTTATTTCACTTAGCGTAATGTTCTCCAGGTTCATCCATGTTGTAGCACATGTCAGAATTTCCTTCTTTTTTAAGGCTGAATAATATTCCATTATATGGACATGCCACATTTTGTTTATCCACTCAACGTTGATGGACTTTTGGGTTGCTTTCAGCTATTGTGAATAGTGCTGCTTTGAACATGAGTGTACAAATATCTTTTCATGACCTTCCTTTCAATTCCTTTGGGTTTATGCTCAGAAGTGGGATTTTTGGATCATATGGTAGCTCTATTCCTATTTCTTTTTGAGGAACCTCTATCCTGTTTTCCCTCATGGTTGCACCACTTCCAGTTACACCAACAGTGCACAATGGTTCTGATTTCTCCATAACCTTGCCAATACATTATTTTCTGTTCTTTTGATAGTAGCCATGCTAACAGGTATCAGGCGATAATCTCGTTGAGGTATTGATTTGCATTTCTCTGATGATTAGTGATATTAAGAATCTTTTCTTATGCTTGGCCATTGTGTATTATCTTTGGATAAATGTCTGTTTAAATCCTCTGCCCATTTTTTAATCAGGTTATTTGATTTTTTTGTGGTTGAGTTATAGGAGTTCTTCATACCCTTATCAGGTATATGATTTACAAATACTTTCTCTTATTCTCTAGCTTGCCTTTCACTGTGTTGATTGTGTTCTTTGATGCACAAAGCTTTTAAGTTTGATGTGGTTCCATTTATCTATTTTTGCTTTTTTTTTTAAATCCTCACCCGAGGATATTTTTCCATTTATCTTCAGATAGAGTGGGTGGGAGGGCAAGAGAGAGAGAAACATCGATGTAAGAGAGACACACTGATCAGTTGCCTCCCACACAATCCCGACCAGGACTGGGGATGAACTGCAACCAAGGTACATGCCCTTGACAGGAATCAACCCATGACTCTTTGGGCCAGAGTTCATTAGCATATTTCTTGAATGTTACAATGGCATAAACTTTGGAGTCAACATAACCATTTCCAAGTCTTGTTCTGTCCTTTGTTGGCTAGCTATGTGAGTTGGGGCTTTTTTTTTTTAAATACTCACTCAAGGACATTTTTGCATTTATCTTTGGATAGAGTGGGAGGAAGAGAGAGAGAGAGAAACATCAATGTGAGAGGGACACATCGACTGGTTGCCTCCCGCACAACCCCAACAGGGGCTGGGGATGAACTGCAACCAAGGTACGTGCCCTTTGCGGGAACCGAACCTGGGACTCTCTGGTCTGCGGGCCGACGTTCTAACCGCTGAGCCAAACCAGCCAGGGGCAGTTGGGGCATATTTTTTAATGTCTCTAAGCCTTGTTCATAACATAGGACTAATAATAGGATCTACTTGATAAGGTTTTTTTTGTAGAGTAAATGAGGTGTTTAAAGGGGCTGGCACATAGTAAATCCTCAATAAAGGTTAGCTGTTACTCTTATTGCGAGAGGGAGGGCATTGAAGTCTGATACAACACAATATGTGCCCCAACAAAGTTGCAAGGAGAAAGTGCCATTCAAATTCAAGGGAGAGAAAGAACTCAAGCTCAGTAATGTCGTCTTTTCTGAAGAATTGAGACCCTAGGGAGTCGGCCAGAATTCAGACCCGTGGAAGTGGACACGCGGCATTCTGGAGCGGACTTGGTTTTATTCCTGTTATCACTCTTGTGTTTGTTTGTTTTCTTGTTTCCACTTTAAATTTGTGTCCTCCCCTATTTTATATAGTTATGCCACCTTAAATTCTTCTGTTATAAGGGAGCATGCATATTTTAAAACATTACATTATATTTCTGTTTTGCCTTACTTACATCTCCAATAGGTGCCCATAAATACAATGAGCACAGACCTTCGTACAGAGGATTGGCCAACTACAGTCCATGACCACGAAAAAACCCAGAGCACGACAACCTCGAATGTGGCCACCAGTCACTCCACGGGTAAGAAAACCAATCATCCCAATAGGGATTGATCTTGTTTTGCCTAATCAGCACTCCAAAAAGCCAAGAAGCAATAGGGCACATGTTCAATGCAAGCGTGAGTTCTGAGCCGAGCTTTATGTGACGGTTTCAGAATTCGATCTGTTTGGTCTATTGGGTTGCTGAAGACAATAAGTGCCTTGACTGGCAGCTAGTGATGTTGCCCCCACAACGGTGTCGTGTTGCTGACCGTACGTGGATAGAATGCCACGCTAAGAACTTAGTGTTTTCACCGAAAACCACAGAGCTCAGCCGGCCTATGTACATCTTTAGCTGTAGTCCTGTTTACCGTCTTATATCGCGTTCACGTCTGTACCCCTGGAGCGGGAATCTCTTCTGAAGCAGTCTTACCAGGATTTGGGGTTGTGCTTGTGATCCACGGTGGGGATCTGCAGCACTGTGAACGGAACATCTTGGAGAGAAACTGTAGAGGAAGACATTGGGTTTTTGCCATTATTTTGAGGGTTAGATAGAATGGGGGTAGATCATTGCCATTACAACTCAGCAATAGAAAGAGATAGCTTCCTATTTCTAGAGCTTGCTTAAAAGAAATTCTTTTTTTAAAAACATGCTTTCATTTTGTAGTAGATAGGGGTGGCAGAGAAAAGGAACTAACCCTCCAGTCAAGGCAATGCGTGCTTGCTAACTTGAGCTATTTTGTGTAAAGCATTTTATCTAGACAGGTATTTCCACCTTTAAGTGAAAGTAAACACAAAGGCCTCACTTAGAGCAGTGGCTCCTCAAACCAAATGCACAGCTGAACACCTCGAAAGTTACTCTTTATTGTCGATATCCATTTCTAGACCCAAAAGCCAACCTGGTTTTTTAAATTAATTAATTTATTTTTTTAACCTCACCCAAGGACATTTTTCCATTTTTTGTTCAGATAGAGTGGGAGGGAGAGAGAGAGAAACATCGACGTGAAAGGGACACATCGAGTGGTTGCCACCCACACGACCCAACCAGAGCCGGGGACAAACTGCAACCGGGGTACGTGCCCTTAGCGGGAACCGAACCTGGGTCTCTGTGGACCGCAGGCCACGCTCTAACCACTGAGCCAAACCAGCCAGGGCTCAACCTGGTTTTATAAAGTCTATAGTACTTCTGAGGATTAAAAAAAAAATGCTTTCTATTTGTATACCCGTGTTCATAGCAACATTATTTACAATAGCTAAAACATGGAATGTATTATGGATGAATGGATAAACAACATGGGATGAATATATACAATGGAATATTCAGCTTGTAAAAAGAAAATTCTAACACGTGGTGCAACATGGGTAAATCTTGAGACATTATGCTAAATGGACTAAGCCAGTCGCCAAAAGACAAGTGCTACGTGATTCTACTTAGATGAAGGACACGGAGTAGTCAAAAGGATAGAGCCAGAAAGTAGAGGGTGAATCAGAGAAAGACAAATACCACATGATCTCAGTTATTTGTGGAATATATTGAACAAAATAAGCTGATGAACAAAATAAACCCAGAGACCTAGAAAGGAATAGGGTTCAGACTGACAGACCTCAGAGGAGGGGGGCAGGAGGAGGGATGAAATAAACCAAAGAATTTATATGCATAAGCAATGGACATAGACCACAATGCTGGGGGTTGGGGGGAGGAAGCAGGGCCAGATCAGGAGGAGGGTGTCTAGAGGGGGAAAAGGAGAAACATCTGTAGCAAAATTAGGTTAATAAAAATTGCAAAAAAATAAAAATAAAATAAAACAACAAAAAGAAAGTAGAAGGGTGGTTGCCTGGGGCTGGGGAGGAGGACATGAGGAGTTATTGTTGAATGGGTACATACTGTCAGAGTTGTGAGATGAAATGAGGTGATGATGATGGCACAACATGAATGTACTTTCTGTCATTGAATTGTGCACAAAAATGGTGAGGATAGTAACTTTTATGTTATGCATATTTCACCACAATAGAAAATAAAAGCTTCATAAAAGTGCTTTGAAAATAAAGCCCATTCCAGCCAGTGTGGCTCAGTCGTTGAGTACTGACCCATGCACCAAGAGGTCGCTGGTTCGAGTCCTGGTCAAGACACATGCCCAGGTTGTGGGCCCGATCCCTAGTCGGGGGCATGCAGCAGGCGGCCAATCAAGGTTCTCTCTCATCAATGTTTCCATCTCTCTCTCCCTCTCACTTTCTCTCTCTCTCAAATCAATAAAGGAAAAACCAAAAACAAAACAAAAAAATGAAAGAAAGAAAATAAAGCCCAAAGGTCACTCCAAGATGCTAAAGAAATGGTTAACATTTAAACATCAGAGAAAACCAAAAAAAGGCTAAGGTAGGAAAGAATCATCCATAGAATCGATCACTGGAAAGCATTTCAAATTTTTGGAGACGAACTGATCATTTGTAACATGAGTTGACAGCTAATTGGCAGCAGAAAATGGAACCTTCCAAGTTGCGTATTCTTTGTCACACCAGGGTACCTCCTGATCCGTAAAAAAAAATTCTCGACTGCCCGGAAAACACTCATGATTACTCACTCTTGTCCCCTGCCCCACCCTGTCACAAAAAGTGTGACTTAGAGTACATTCCCACTTCATATATCAGTGTCCCAAGAAATTTTCATAGTTACAATGTAATTAGGAGCACTTGGGTTTTTTTTAAGAGGTAGTTTTATTAGGGCAGCAGATGTCTTTCCCATTAAACGCCCAAGTTCAATGATGCTCACATTTACGACACATTTTATGGCCACAGTCATATAATTTCGAGGGAGCTGGGGTGTACAGGACTAATAAGCTCTAATTTAGTGAGGGATCTTCCATAAACTTCATTTTTGGTATTTTCTAACCAATGGTGTCAGTGATGGTGATGATATCGTGTTAAGAGACATGATAAGTAAATGATTGAACTGTTTTTGCTGGTATTTAGCAGCTGGGATGACGTTTTGGGAGTTGATTTGATGATGCTGGGCAGGGCTCAGATTCAGTCGTCTCCCAGCCTCTTTATGGTGGGGTGGCGCAGTCCACCTGAGCTCCGTGGGTTCAGCTCATGCAGGGAGAGCTGGGTTTGGGGCCCCCTACCCTGGGACCCTCTGGACAAGGTGGCTTTCTGAAGACAGCCTTGGTACAAAAGGGATGGCTTCTTTCAAACCCAATCATTGGAAAAAGCAAGCAGTTTGCTGGCTGGTTTCACCTTTGATTAAGAAAGTTATCGGGTATCTGTATTTTGCAAGTTGTGAGCTAAGGTTGTAGAGAAGGGCCTGATTAATTCACTTCTCCCCATTGTGTGATTAAACCAAGGCACCTCGAGTTTTCTCCATCTGCAAACTAGATAAATAGATACCCCTCCAGAGGAATTAAGGACTCTATACAAAGAGGTCAATGGGAGAAACTAAAGAGCACAACGCCTTTATTATTATTATTTTTTTTATCCTCACCGGAGAACATTTTTTTGTTTTTTGTTCAGATAGAGTGGGAGGGAGAGAGAGGAAGAGAGAGAGAGAAAGAAACATCGACAGGAAAGGGACACATCGAGTGGTTGCCACCCGCAGGACCCAACCAGGGCCAGGGACAATCTGCAACCGAGGTACGTGCCCTTAGCGGGAACCGAACCCGGGTCTCTCCGGACCACAGGCCGACGCTCTAACCGCTGAGCCAAACCGGCCAAGTCTGTGCCTTTATTTTTAAATAGGAATTATGTAAAATTATCTGAAAGAAACTCACCATTTTATTACTTACTGAGAGGAAGATACTTGTAAGTAAATAACTGATACCCATGTGATAGGTAAATGAAAATATTCCCATGGTAACGATTAAATTAGGTTTGGCCACCGATAGAAATCCTAAAATCACAGTGGCACAAAGAGTGTATTCTCTCATTAAACGGAGCTGGGCATGTTGCTGCTGCCCTGGAACATGTGAATTTTGCTACGAAAGAAAAAGCAGGGAATTGATATCAAAAGATAAATCACGGTCTTGGCCACATCTCCCCCAAACAAGAGCCTATCATTCTGAAAATGAAAATGCTTCAAAACAGAGGGGGTGAGTTTCCCCTGATCTGACATTGGACCAGGAATCAACAGCCTTGGATTCTTTTGTTATCCTAAGCTCTGAAACTTTTTGATCATTTATTTAAGACCTCTGTGGGTCGGCTGCCTGGATTCTACTCCCTGAAGTCAATAGGAGGAACGTAATGTACACAAAAGTACTTTGGACCCATAGGTGTGAAGAAGTAAATTCAATAATAATAGTTTTGAAGACAGGAGCATGTCACACCGTGCTTAAAAAAAAAAAAAAATTAAGAAATTATCTTCTTTGCTTGTGTTTAGGGTAAATTCATCTTTTGCCAATTGTTAAATTATAGTTATTAAATCCTAATAATTCTATATCATTACATCTCTCTCTTTACAGAAGGCACAAAGACAACAGTGGAGAAAGGTAAGCTAGATTTTGGTATCAAAATATTCTTTTGGGTTTAAAAAAAAATGGTTTCTTTGAACCTAGTCTTGGTGATGAAATACATCCTTGCCTGGACTGGAGTCAGCAAACGCAGAATAGAGAACCTTCTGGGAACGGGTTTCATACTTCTTTTAAAAGAGAAAAGGGAATTGTCTATGTTTGAAAATAATCAAACCACAGATGATTCACTTGGTGACAACGGCGGAGAAGGGTGTCATATCACAATTTATTGTTACTAAGAGCGAAAATGGGGGCTAATTTAATAGCCATACCCAAACGCTACCCAGTAATTGACTGTGAATCCACCCTGTACGAATGGTGTAGTGCATCAGTTCTGAGACCCAGAAATCTTTCCATTTCTAAGGAGAGACTGGAATAGCCCAAAGTTTCTCCTTTTCTGAAACAGCTTCCACTGGATACAGGAGAAACAACACAGAACATGATTTGCTCTCTGCATGGGACAGTGGCACTGTGTACAAATGACACATTGTATTGCATGTGTATTGCATATCTGGGGCTCACGGTTTTCCCCCTCTCATTCAGATGGCTTCGCAACAGGGACCCTGATTGGAATCATAGTTGGGGTCTTACTGGCCATTGGAATCATTGGTGGGATCATCATTGTGGTCGTGCGAAAAATGTCAGGAAGGTACTCGTAAGTAAATTACTTACACCCACATGATAGGTAAATGAAGGTGATCACTTCTAGAGCTCTGGCCTTTGAGCTAATGGAAAGCTTTCATTGAAGGTCATGGTCAAAAGCCCCTACCTCCATTAGTACTACATCTGAAGTTTCCCCAGGAGAACACGTGTGTACTTGGGCCTTAACATGTCCAAGAAAAGAGAGTCAGAACCAGAGATGACTCTGGTTGACTTCCCTTGAACTTGGACCAAACTTGATCTTTTGTCTTAATTTTCTAACTCACTGAACTGGAAAGGAAACCCAACCCAAGTTTGAACTTGATACCTCGTCGCCCTGCTCCCGATCATCCGAGGTGGGAGGTTTCTAGAAGACCATTTGCTGCAGGAGCAGGGCTCCACTCTGATGAGGAATTCTGTTGGGATGAGACCCCTCCCCCCAGCCTGCCTTGGATACACCCCCATAGCCGATATACTCCTAGCATTGACTATTAGTGAGGGGAAGGAATTCTTTCATTAAAATCCCTAAGAATTCAGAACTTTCAAATTCATAGAATTCAAATTCAAATTCATAGAGGAAACCTTTTTTTCGTATTTCTGTTGGGGAGATGATATATGATTGGGGAGTCGATGGGGGGGACAGGGAGAGGACAGATGCTATAGATCTGGGGGTTGAGAGATACGATTCACCGTACAGCCGCAGATCGATGTGTTTAGAGAGGCCTGGGAGCCCGACCCTGGCTGTGTGGGGACCAGGCATGGAAGAGGAATGGTTGAGAGAGAAGAGTACCAGATTCCAAGCTAGAAGACTTAGACAAAGGACACTAGGAATTCAGCTCACGGGGTTACTGTTCCCAGTGCCAGTAAAAGGAGTAACAGTCACTTTCTCTTTGTTCTCACAGGCCCTAAAGAGCTGAAGAACTGTGCCCTTCTGCCAACACATCTGAAGAAGAGTTTCCGACCTCCCCTGTCCCCGAGCATGTGGGAGAAGATGACCCATGGAAATGCTTGGCCACCCCACTCAGAATCCATGGTGATCCCTCCGCTCACCAAACGTAACCCGAAGGAATGCTCATTGACAAGACTTGCTCCTCGCAGCATTTGTCTTTTGAACAACATTTGGGAAAGATACATTTTGGACAAGATGATTTTTAAAAACCAAATGCATAGGAAACAGCAAAAACTGTGTAAACTGATTTGTAACTAAGCGAGACGATGTAATTCCATCCATGTCAGAAACTGTCATCATGTCTTTGTTCTGATCATTCTCTGTTACCGTTAAAATGCAAAGGAATCTGGAGATATGTATAGCAGTGGAGTCCTTGGGTCTGGCGCTGTGTCAGTACATGGCATGAGTATTTTGCAATTTCTGATCTGTTGAAAGGCACACATTCCAGTCTCGTTTGGTCTGTTTTTAAAACCTGATTTGGCGTGAATCATCAAGTAGAATAACGTAAACGGGGGTCATACGTGAATCTCACAATGAGGCCACGGGGCAGCCATAGGCTTGCTTCGCCCTTGTTTACAGTCATGACTTGATGACTCACAGGTGCGCTCCTGCTTGACCTGGCTTCCCTCAGATGTTGGGGAGCCAGAGCTAAGGAGGTGGCCTTTGCTCATCCCCATGACGCAGGACTTTCAGGCTGGCTGCTTTGATCTAGACTACGGAGCTCGCAGCCCTGAGGACGGCCGAGGAGGTGCTGGAAGCCCGGCGGGGCCCGAGGCTCACGTGTTCGTTCCGGAAACCAAGAACCAGGGTGGTCCCCAAACAGAAAGAAACCCTCTGTGTGCTTCAGGTGTGGGCGGTAGAACCCACCGGCCTTCTAACATTCCCTTTCTGCCTCAGAGGAAAGAGATGGGAAGCCAAAATAATCTTGTAAAAGGTTAGTTTTGAAAAAGCAGCTGGATTTAAAAAAAAAAACAAACACACACAAAACCAGAAGATACTCCCAGTCTTCACGAGGCCCCCACGCCTTTCTGCGGGGCTGTAATTGAAAAATCAGAATCAAGGAGCCCAAGCTGCCGTTCTGTGTTGGCGCCATCCAGCTCGGTGCATTTCTTCCCAGAGGTCAGCTGAATGCTTTTTCCTAAACAAAAAAGTCTTTGTACGGAGTGGATGGTCTCTCGTGACTGTGGCTATGAGTGCTGAGCTGTAAACTGTGTGCGAGTCATAACGGGGAAAAGTAAATGATCAGAAAACACAGCCCGGTCCTCCCTCTTTTTTTGCAGTAATGTGTGGATGTTATTTTAAACAGTGTGCCCTTCGGCTGCCTAAGTCCAGCTGGTCCGCCAGCCCAGGCTCCCTATTTGAGCATCACCTGACCAAGAAGGGTGTAGAAGAGCTTTATGATCCTAATACCCTTCTGTTCCGTCGCTCCGATTCCTGAACGGGAGTTGGGAATAATGACCATCTCATTTTTTTTTTTTTCCTTTTCTTGCTTTTTTCTCTCACTGTGAAAAATCACGGTCCACCCCAAGTCGTACACTGGACCCGTCGCCTGCTGGGACAGGGCTGTGGGTTTCTAAGTCACACCTGTGTTGATGCTCGATGCAGTGTGGACATGTCTGCAAATAAATCAGATGATGGTGTAGAATATCGAGTGAGAGCTTTGATTGGAAGTCTCGACCAAGTCGGGGTCCCCCTTAAGAACGTCTCCAGATAAGCTCAGAAATGATGTCAACATCTGCCTCTTGTCGCGACGGTGAGGGAATTATAAATGGTCACAGGAAGTACCAACCATGGGAAAGAGCCCTGTCACCCAGGGCTCTGCCAAAGTAGAGGGGTCAAGGTCCAGCACGTGGGTGGGACGAGAAGACAAGGGCACTTTGAGACTTCTTTTGTCCCCTCTGATCCTCACAGGTTAACCAGGTTTTGCCTGGCCCCTGACTTCTCTGCACTGGAGAGAGGAGCCAAGTGAGGGGCTGAAACACCTTCTGTCGGTCTTCCCTGGGAGCCTGACCTCAGGTGTGCTGGGCTCGGCTACACAACGCAGGAGGTAGTAACCCTGGTTGAGGGTGTTCCAGCTGCGTAAGGGTCTGGGAGCATATCCCAGAATCCCTTTTCCGAGGACAGCCCACTGCTCCTTGGCCCTCAGTGGGTCTGGAGACCCCAGTGGCCAGGCTCTCTGCCTCTGTCCCTCTGTCATCCAGCTGCTCCTGCCCACCCACACCCACACCGCTCTGGAAGAATCCCAGTGCCACCCCTGGGTCACCTCTCTGCCCATCCTACCCCCACTCATCAAGGCTGGTTACTAGGAACAGGAGAGCCATTTCCTCCTCACAAATACTCAGAATGTGACATCCAGATCGTTCCCTTTGCCACACGTCAGGACTCCTGGGTGCCTGGTTCACAAGGGTAGCTTTTTGGGGCTCCAGTTCCTTCCTAAGAACTTCCGTGAGATGGTTCAGAAAGCACAGCTATTCCAGCAGAAAATAAACCACATCCACCTGGCCCCACAGCCTGACAGAGAACGGGACCTCAGCCAGGTCAAATGTAAACAGGTTCCCTTACACGCTCCCCAAAGGACAGGGCTGGAATCTCTCGGAGCTGCCAAGGGGGCCAGGAAATAGCTATCCACTCCTTCATGAGAACATCTGGAAGCCGGAACCGAAGTTAACTGTCAGCATCCTAGTAACGCCTTGTTTTGACCCCGATACTTTTTTTCTTTAAGCTCGGGAGAACCAATTGAACCCCAGGGCTTAGTTCTGCTTCACGAGCCACTTTTAACACAAAGGACAAGTAACGTAGTCCCTCTATCTCCATCTTTATTTATTTATTTATTTATTTATTTGGTACATGCCCCTAGCGGGAACTGAACCTGGAACTCTCTGGTCCATAGGCCGGCACTCCAACTGCTGAGCCAAACCGGCCAGGGCTCCATCTTTAATTCATATATATATTTTTTAGTGTTCTGGGCTTGTGGCTGCTTGTGGCCAGCACTTCAGTGGGGAAGCTAACATTAAAACTTTTTTTTTTTTTAAATTAAAAGTCCTTGAAATGCAGCTGGATAATCACACATGTCCTTGGACTCCAGTCGTCCACTGTCTGCATCTCGTGCGCTCTGAGGACTTGGCTCCGCCTTCTAGTCGTATGGCCAGGGCTCCAGGCCACCATTCAGTCCTTTCCACCGTCCTTAGGCCGTGTTACTCCCTTTTTCTTTCTTCCCTACCCCCTGTCTGCTCTGACTTCCTGCTGATGCAAATCTTTGAGAGGACCATCACGCGCCAGTCACACGGGATGTCTCCGGAGGGACGGCCTCCCTCTGGATGTCACTGCCGCGGTTGTGTGATGTAAGTGCTTGAACAACCAAAGCCACTCACAGTGCCCCGTGCGTGACCTCAGGAAGGCCAAACGTGTTCTGACTTAGGGAAAGCTTGAATCTTTCTTTTGCTCCCCACCCCCAACCTATGAATTAAGATGGGACTGTGATTGGCCAAGGGACAGCTGGAAAGGGAATATATGGTGTGGTTGTTTGTCCAACAAGACCCAGGGACCAAAGACACTTGGGTTGACAAGGTATGGTGGGCTGCTGGAGAGATACACTTCCATAGGACGGAAATAATGTGCTCATTTATTCATTCAACAAACGTTACTGTCAGGTCCTGGGGGTACACAGTGAACAAACCCACAGATCCTTGCCCACGTGGAGCTTTCATTCTAGGCTGAGACAGAGTGGACCCAAAGTAAATCAGTGAATCGTAGAGGATGTGGGAAACGAGAGGGTGGCAGAGGCCATAAGAAAGGGGCGGGGTGGGGGGAGAGAAGTCCGGGGGGGCGGGCTACACGAATCGGGGGTGGGGAAGGCCTCGCTCAGATTTGAGCAAAGTTCTTGACGAGGCAGGGACTGAGCCCAGTGGAGGGAAAAGCATTCTGGCTGAGGGCACAGCCAAGCCCCGGGCAGGAGCACGTGTGGTGTGCTGTGGGAACGCAGGAGGCTCGGAAGGCTGGGGTGAGCGTGGGGGGAATGGTAGGAGGTGAAGCCAGTGAGGTGGGGCCCTTGCAAATGGGAGCCATTGGAAGGGGGTTTTTAAATTAAAAAATGTTTTTGGGAACTGGCCAGTTAAAAAGCCTGCGTGGCCCTGGCTGGTTTGGCTAAGTAGTTAGAACGTCGGCCCAAGAACCAGTGAGTCTCGGGTTCAATTGCGGCCAAGGGCACATACCTCAGTTGCAATTTGTCCCCGGCCCTGGTTGGGGTCGTGTGGGAGGCAGCCATTCAATGTGTCCCTTTCACATCGATGTTTCTCTCTCTTCCTCCCCCCCCCCCATTCTATCTGAACAAAAATGGCAAAAAATTTCCTCTGGTGAGGATTAAAAAAATTAAAAAAATAAAAAGCCAGTGTGATAATCCAAGCAAGAGATATAGGTGACTCAGACCAGGATGAGAAAAACAGATGTCACAATGAGTCAAAGGATTTTGCCCGCGGCAATTGAAAAATGGAGCTGTCCTCAACCCCCCAGGAAGGGCTGTGATGTTGCAGGTGCGAGTGGGAAGGGCATATTCTGTGTTGCACATGCAGAACGGAGACACGTGAGAGAGACCCCGCTGGGGCTGTCCAACAGGCAGCTGGGCATTTGAGTTCAGGAGCTGTCAGTACTTCATAATGATACTAATGAGATCACGAATTACATCCCAGGATTAGTCGTTTCCTTTTGCTCTCTTTTATACCACTTAACAACCTTCTGATTACATCCAGCTCTCCAGGCCGCTTGATGCTGCGATGGGGGTGCCCTCAATAATGGACACAAATATTCCCAGCGCTGGAAAAGAATCTCATCCGTTGAAATTAGCAATCTGGTATGTGGTGTTATGAATCCGTTTCTTACGAGTTTGATTGGCATGAGTTAGGCCCTAGAACCTGTTCAACTCATGCACTAATAATTTCAGAAGGATCAATCTGAGGACCAGATCTTTCGAGAATAATAACCGCATCAAGTTACCACTGCTAGGTGGGGCATCCAACTCTGTTCCCTACACAGCCCTGTGTTGTAAGTCCCGACTAATGGTGCCCACACGACACAATCTAGCTTCCACCCAATCCACTGACTTGCTGTGTCCAAGTTTCCAAATGAGCTCCCATTGGTCAACGCCATGGTCTCTTCTTGGTCTTGTTTTCGGCAGCCATCAGCTCTGTTGATCCCCTTTTTGAGTTTTTTTCATGTGCCCTGACCAGGGATCGAACTCCCAACCTTGGTGTACATTCTAACCAACTGAGCTACCCACCAGGGCTGACCGCCTTCTTGAAGCCATGACGATTTCCCCTCCTGGCTCTCTGCTTGCTTGTCTTCACTCATCCTCCCCTTGTGGGATTACCTAAGGTTCCCTTTTCACTTCTCTCTAAAGAGAAGGTACTGGCTGTACCCTCACCCCCAAGTCGTTGCCCATTCCTTGTTGGCGGGGAGGCACTGGGGGAGCCATCTGTTTCTGAGCTCACTATTTTTCACACGAAACAGTGCAGACAATAATACCTACATCACAGCGCTGTCATCAGCCTTAAAGTAAATAATGAACGTTGACGGCCTGTCTGAAAACACAGTAACTGCCCCATCATTAGCAGCAATTATTCCAACGGCCACTCCTTCCTTCCATTATCACAGCTCATTTACTCTCACGCATCCCTGTGAAGTAGGCGAGACAGAGATTATCCCCGTTTTGCAAGTGAAGAAATTGAGGTCCAACCAGTTGCCTAAAATTACAGAGTTCCGACCTGCCCCGCAGGTGTCGTGACTCACTCCCTGGCCTTCTTCTCTGCTCAGACCACATGACCTCTGTTCACATCAGTTGTCTCCCTCAGCTCAACGGTCTGCATTTCCAAGACACAGTCTCTTCAGCCAGTGGAAAAGGGGAACCTTTTTCTAATCATAAAATATTTTAAACATACAGAAAAACACAGAATAAGAAAAAACACAGAATAATAGCAAAGCCCCATCGCTGTCCATGTTGTCAACTTGTATATCCACAGACTCATTCTCTGCAAACTGCTTTCTCCATCCTCATGATTCTTGTGAGGTGGTCCTCACGGATACACAGAGCTAACCAGGCATCTCTGCAGCTGATGAGATCAGCAATTCTCAACCTTTTTCATCTCCTGGCGCACATACACTAATTACTAAAATTCTGCGGCACACCAAAAATAGATTTTTTGCCGATCTGACAAAAAAAAAAAATTAGGTATGATTCTAATCATTCACACTGGATGGCTGTTGTGTTGGCTGTTGTCATTTTTTATTTATTTATTTATTTATTTATTTATTTATTTTTTTTATCCTCACCCGAGGATATTTTTCCATTTTTTGTACAGATAGAGTGGGAGGGAGAGAGAGGAAGGGAGAGAGAGAGAGAGAGAAACATCGACGTGAAGGGACACATCGAGTGGCTGCCACCCGCACGACCAACCAGGGCCGAGGACAAACTGCAACCGAAGTACGTGCCCTTAGCGGGAACCGAACCCGGGTCTCTCCGGACCGCAGGCCGACGCTCTAACCGCTGAGCCAAACTGGCCAGGGCGGCTGTTGTCATTTTTTAATTTGACATCTAAGGGGAA